AGATGGTGGAGGTTACGCTGGAAGCCAACTACAAGGCCGCGTATCGGATGTGTCGGGCGTATCTGCCCTCGATGCGTCAGCAGGGCGGGGGGAAGATCGTGAACGTCTCCTCGGTGCTGGGGCCTCACCCGGTGCCGGCGGTCTCGGCCTACGCGGCCTCGAAAGCAGCGGTGATCGCTTTCACCCGCTCGATCGCGCTGGAAGTGGCGACCGAGGGGATCCAGTGCAACGTGCTGGCCCCGGGGTACCTGCAAGGGCCTAAAAACGAGGACTACTTCGCCTCGAAATCGGGGCGTGCCTTCATCAGACGGTTCATGCCCGGTGGGGCCCCGGGGGTGGCTGAGGATCTGGTCGGCCCTGCGGTGTTCCTGGCCTCAGCGATGTCGGGACACGTGACCGGACAGGTGCTGGTCGTCGATGGCGGCTACAGCATCTGGTGATCGGGGCCGGCAACGGTGGCCGGCCCTGACGTACCAGGGGCCGGATCATCCCGAGCTAGTGTTCTTAGAGTACGCACACTCCAACGAACCGGTCGGGTTGGGGATGCGCCCCTGGGCCCGCGAACGTGCCGCCACGATGTCGGCTGCTACTCGGTGGTGGGGGCGGCAGGTCGGGTTCCTCGGCCCGGTCGATCCTCCCCCCGAGGCGAGGGCTTCGGGGTCGAGGCCGGCCGAGGCAGCCCAGTACCTGTCCACCGGGTATATCGGCCCACTGGTGGATCAGGTCGAGTTCGCCTACGGGGATCCCAGCCGCGCGGCGGGGCGGCGAGCCGAGCAAGTGGTGCAGTACCTGCAGCGTCTGGGACCACGGTTCGTGGTGTCTTTACATGCGGACGTGGGTACTCGCGGGGCCTATGCCTATGCCACTGAGCAGCACCAGCGGATCAGTGAAATCCTAACCAGTGCCCCGTACCTGAATCAGGACCCGGGGGTAGAAATCTCCTGGGCCCGGCTCGTCGCGGACAGGGTGTGGGACTTCTTCGACGCCGAGGTCATCGGCCCGGATCTGGCCGGCCCGTCAGGCCAGTACGTGCGGGCGATCGGTTTGCCCGGGTGCTGGATCAACCTCGAGCTGCCCCTGTTTGACTGGGGACCCCACGAGCAGCTGCGCACCCGGACACGGGCCGCGATGGCCCGCCAGATCGCCGAGGGTGGATCACTGGCACGCCCCATCCGCCTCTCCGACCACTTCCACCGACAACTGGCGGGCATCCCAACGATCACCGAGGAGGATGAACAGCTGTTCTTGGCACACGTAGCCGAACACCTGCTCATCCGGACCTGACCTTCCGGCTTTGACTTACTGTTCCCCAGATCCAGGGACTGCCAGCACATATCCGGAGTCCCCCTGCCCATCGTGGGGATGAAACAGCACATCATCACCTGTGTATTTTTGTGATGATTGATTTTTGCGTATTT